ACCTTCGGCGTGCAAGGGGGAAAGTTCTTAGGCTACATGGTCAGCCGAAGGGGTATCGAGGCCAACCCCGAGAAGATTCAGGCCATCATCAACATGGAGCCTCCACGCAACGTCAAAGAAGTTCAACGGCTGACGGGTCGCCTTGCGGCCCTCAACCGTTTCCTCTCCAAATCAGCCGAGAGGGCCCTCCCCTTCTTCCAAATCATGAGGAAAACGGCGGGCTTTCAATGGACATCTGAGTGTCAAGAGGCCTTCGACGAACTCAAGAAGTACCTCTCTTCTCCCCCAGTGCTCTCCAAACCGAAGGTGGGGGAGACGTTGTACTTATATCTCGGTGTTAGCCCCGCGGCTATCAGCTCAGTACTAATCCGAGAGGAAGATGGCATCCAACATGCCATCTTCTACGTCAGCAAAACCCTCCGGGAGGCCGAACTCAGGTACTCTCCCGTCGAGAAGACGGTGCTAGCCATCGTTTGGACCGTCAAGAAGCTTGGTCACTACTTTCAAGCTCATCCGGTCCAAGTACTCACTCATCAACCCCTCGGCGCCCTCATGAGGAGTCCCACTAGCTCCTCTCGGATGGTGAAATGGGCCATCTTCCTCAGCCAATACAACATAGATATCCGCCCGAGGCCTGCCATCAAGGGCCAAGCCCTGGCAGACTTCGTAACGGAGTGCACCGCGAGATCAGCAGTGGGTGAGGAGCCTTCGGCACCTCTTGATGAGTGGTGGACCCTCTATACCGACGGCTCCTCGGCTACCAAAGCGTGCGGAGGAGGAGTAGTTCTCATCACGCCCGAGGGCTTCCGCGCCTATTATGCCATCCGCTTCTCCTTCAAAGTCTCTAACAACGAGGCCGAGTACGAAGCCCTCCTCTGTGGCCTTCGGCTGGCAGCAAATCTGAAGGCTAAGATGATCCACGTCAAGTGTGACTCCAAACTTGTTGTGGGTCAAATTTCCGGGGAGTACGAAGCCAAGGAAGGAAGGATGAAACAATACAAAGAAGCGGCTAAGGAGTTGCTCAAGGTGTTTGAGGCACATTCTCTCACCCAAATACCGAGGGCTCAAAACTCTGAGGCCGACATTCTGTCCAAGCTCTCGGATGAATCCCCCGAGCATCTCTCAAAAATTGCAAGAATCGAGGAGCTCAGCCTCTCAAGCATCCACGCAAGCCCCATTATGAATATTAACCTAAGGCCGGAGGATTGGATCTCCGACATCATCACCTTCATCACCACAGGACTACTACCCCGGGACGAGGGCCGCGCAAAACTGACAAAACTGAGGGCCCCCAGCTACACCCTCGAAAACGGGAAGCTTTACAAGAGATCTTACAACGGCACCCTCCTCCGGTGCCTTCATCAGGATGAGGCCGAAGTCGCCATGGAGGAAGTGCACAGTGGCACTTGCTCAGCTCACCAGGGACCCTTCTCCATGTCCCGAAGGCTCATAGTTCAGGGCTACTTCTGGCCCACGATGGCTAGAGATTGTGCTGATCTAGCCCGAAGGTGCACCGCTTGCCAGCACTTTCAGAAGGCCCCCGGCAGACCAGCTGTCAACTACGCCCCCATCAGCACCGCGATACCCTTCTCCAGATGGGGAATCGACTTAGTAGGCCCTCTGCCGAGAGGTACCTCCAACAACAGATATATCATTGTGGCCATTGACTACTTCACCAAGTGGGTAGAGGCCGAACCCCTCGCCAGCATCACGGAGGCCCGGTGCCGTCACTTCGTCCTCAAAAATATTCTCACAAGGTTTGGCGTCCCCCAACAAATTATCTCCGACAACGGGACTCAGTTCGAGGCAGCCCCATTCTGTGCCCTTCTTGAAGCTTGGGGCATCAAGCACACATTCTCTTCCGTTGCCTATCCTCAGGGCAACGGGCAAGTAGAGAACGCCAACCGAACCCTACTTGAAGGGCTGAAGAAGAAGCTGGAAGCCGAAGGGGGAGGCTGGGTAGAAGAACTTCACAACATCTTATGGGCCTATCGCACGACCCCTCGGCGCGCAACAGGCGAGACACCCTTCTCCCTATGCTATGGCTTTGAGGCTAAGGCTCCAACAGAAGTGACCCTTCCGACCCGAAGGGTGGAACAATATGAGCCCGAGGTCAACGACGCCAACATGGCCCTCGACCTTCATCTCATCTCGGAACGCCGAGAGCAAGCCTTCCTCAGGGCCGAAAACTATAGGAGACAAGTCAAAGGCTACATCGACGCCAAGGTCCGCTCTCGGGAATTTCAAGTGGGTGACTACGTCCTCCGACGAAGGGAAGCCAGCCTACCCACCGAAGGAGGAAAAATGGCTCCCAAGTTTGAGGGCCCCTACATCATCTCAGCCATCATCAAACCAGGGACATACAAGCTTAAACGCCCCAATGGGACGGAGGTCCCTAGACATTGGAATGTGCACCACCTTGTCAAATTCTATCAATAAGGCATGAGCGGCCAAGCCCTCATCCTCAGCAAGTGTAAATATTAATGGCCCAAGGCCCCTTCTGTTTTTGAAGAATAATCAAAAGGCCAAGCCTTCATCACCTACATATTATACAAGCGGCCCAAGGCCCCCTTCTCTCCTACACACGAGCGGCCAAGCCCTCATCTCTTCACCATAAAAGGCCCAAGGCCACTCCCTCTTGTGAGGAGGAACAACAATTTAGGTACCAAGTACCAAGTGTATGGGTCACCCCCATCACTCTTTGAAAACACCAAGTGTTTTCAAAAACTTTTACATATTCCTACAAAAAAAAAAAAAAAAAAAAAAAAAAAAAACCGGGGGGTGCAACACCCCTCGGCTCCGGCTGGTACCAAGTGCCCCCGGCTATTTGTGTTCTACACACAAATAAAACCCTTCCCAAGGAACGCTTTCCGCGCCATCCCCCAAGGGGAGGCAGGCAACGGACCATGTCCCGGGCCCAGGATTCGACTTCCACAAACGAAACGCTCCCCGCGCTATCCCCCAAGGGGAAGCAGGCAACAGACCATGTCTCGGGCTGAGGGGACGACTTTCAAAACCGAGGCGCTTTCCGTGCTATCTCCCAAGGGGAAGCAGGCAACAGACGATGTCTCGGGCCGAGGAAACGACCCTCAAACCCTTCGGGATATCGGAAGGTCATTCCCGAAGGGGGAGCCAACGGTTTGTTCCGTTGCCTCCCATATAGGCCAAGCCTTTCCTAGAAACCAAGTTTCTAGATGCCTCTCCTACACCATCTAAATAAAAAAAAAAAAAAAAATGATGTGTAGGGGGGAAGGAACTCCTCGGATACTATTCTCCCCGGAGGCTCAACACTTCGGACATACATTCCCGAAGGCTCCAAAGGCGACAGAAAATTTCCCAACAACAGAACATCTGGCAACATAGCCGAAGGCTCCACTACATAAAGCCTTGGAGAACAACAGTTCCCCCGGAAGCCCAAGAAGGAGGCTCACTAAGCAAAACTTCACCTAGATTTGGCTAAGGCCGAAACTCGGCTGGATCAAAATCAACTATGTGACATACCGAAGGCTCCACAAAGTTTTGAGGCAAGCTAAACCTATATCTACACAAACCGGAGGATTCATGTCGAAGGCAGAATGCCACCCGACTCATTCAACGATGAAAATTTTTTTTTTTTAGATCCACGAATCGGCATCCTTCGGAAATCACTCATCAAACCGGGGGGCCGCTCACAAGATCTGTTGGAAACAAAGTCTCACAATTTCACTAAGTCCATAATCTCGAACCCCTCGGCAACCATATGCACCGGGGGCTCAGGAAGTTCCTACACTCGAAGGATTCACTACAGCACCTATTGAAACTTCGTGAAAAATGACTAAGTTCGCAAATGTGGACCCTTCGGGAGGGCAATTCTTCACCTACAGACTCATGGTCGATGGCCTCCCAAACTACTTGGCAGTAGCCAAAAGCTACACTACTAAACAAAGGATTCCAAGCTTCCCGGAGGCATTGGAGGCAACTTCACTTGGGAAATCTCCTAGATCTAATTCACCTTAGCCCTCGGTCCTATTGCTACAACCCGGAAGCAATCCCTATGACTCATCACCGAAGACATGCGGTGGAATTTTACTTAGAAAATTTTTCTAAGTCCACAATCACGAGCCTCCGGCAAATTCTACTTTACAGCCGAAGGGTCCTGGTCTGGTCTCACTTAGAAAATTTTCTAAGTCCACAAACTCTTGGCCTTCGGGAAACCAGGCAAGGGAAAGGAGAACATACATTCATTCATACACAAACACAAAGAGAAACAGGGGCATGCATTCAAGTTCGAAAAGAAGGAAACATTCATTCACAAAAGCACGAAGGCACAATCATCCATCAACAACAACATTTTAAAGTGCAAAAGATGTTTGTTTATAAGGCATAGAAAAGCCTCAACCGCTTTCTTTCTGGCGTCAGCCACCGCTTCAGCCTTATCATTCTCGGCAGCCTCGGCAACGGTCCTGGCAATGGCAGCGGCGGCTTCCTCGGCGGCGGCTTTCCCCCTCGCCTCAGCGTCTTTGAGCCTTTGCTCCGAGGCCTCCTTCTCCAGCCGAAGGCTCGCCTCCGCATCAGCAACCCTCTGCCTAAGGGTGACCTTCTCCTCATCAGCTTTCTTCAGGGCCTCGTCCGCCTGGCACTTGGCAATCCTCAGCTGCTCAACCCTTCGGGCCTGCTCAGAAGCAGCCAAGGCAGCCTGCACATAAACGCATATAAACAAAAATGTGGCATCAGAATGGTTCACCGGGCGCTATCATCAAAAAGAAAGAACTGAAGGAGATAAAAAGGGAAGACAACTCACCATAGTGCTGTAGCTCGCGACCTTGTAGTCGAGGATGTCATCCCCGAGGCGGGCCAGCACTGACCTATCCTTCGGCGCCATGACCCCCCTCATAAATCCTACAGGATGAAGGGTGCCATGCATAACTGAGGTCCCCGACTTGACGGGGAACTGGATGATCTCCGCCGGGCGGATTCCCTCGTCTATGGGGGATGGAGGAGATCGAGGAGGAGTAGTCGCAGAAGGATTCAAGGAAGGCTGCTCCTCGACTATCACTATGGGGGCATCCTTCCTCCCGGGGGCACCCTTCTTCTGTTTCTTGTTCTCCGGGGGGGCTACACCCTTCCCGGAGTTCTTTCTCTTGAGCTCCTCCCCTTTGGAGCCCCCGGCACCGGCACCGGCATCATCGGTTTTGGATGGTCCCTCCCCCTCCGGCACCTGAGATGCCCCATCCTTCTGGAAGAAATCATCGACGGGCTTCTGACTCCCCGCCTCCTTCTTCTTTTTTGGCTCTTTGGCCAACTTCTTCTTCAAAGCGGCGAAGTTAGAGACATCCATGTTAACACCTGCAAAACAACAATGGGGTCAGACCGGGGGGTTCAACAACGGGGGGGGGGGGGGGGGGGGATAAAATAAGGATACGCGAAATTCCTAAGTAAAGTAAAGCAGACCCTCCGGTAACTACCTCCAGTGCTACCGAAAGCTCTCTCAAAAACGGGGTACTGTTCATCTCTCTCGCCCAGAAATCGGTACCGTCGAAAGCCTAAGGCCAGCAAATCCCCTGGGAGGGTGGAGTCCTTGACGGACACATGCTTTGTGGCCCCCGGCAGTAAGGCAGCGATCTTCTTCCCATCCTTCTGAAGTACGGCATTTCCCACCTTCGGATGCCGCCTAAAGTGATTGCGCAGCTCCCTCGGGAATGGGTTTCCAGCCATCTTAATGTAGCAGAATCGGTCTTTCCATCCCTTGTGAGACGAGGGCACATCGTCGAAAAGCCTCCAGGGGGCAAGTTGCTGCAGGTTTGCGAAGCCCTCGGAATTGGTATGGCCCCCCCGGCACAGGTTGAAGCTTTGAAAAAATAAGTCCAGAGTGGCCGTTACCCCCCGAGACCGGCAGAGTTGCAGAAAGCCGGTAATGTAAGAGTGGCTGTTTGGGGTAAGTTGACAGGGGGCTAAGCCCACAAACCTAAGATATTCAAGGAGGAATGGGTGCAACGGGAACCGGAGGCCCATCGAGACTGACAGCACATGTACGGCGAAGCATCCTTCGGGAGCCTGGGAGAGGAGGTCGTTAGGCCCCGGTTCAATCACGGTGGCCGAAGGGCCCACATGCAACTGGGTGACGTAACACTCGGCCCGGTCAGCCCTCGACTTCAGCGCGAGGGCGGCGGTGTTCAACCAAGAGTGTCCCTCGGGTATGCCCACAGGTTTCCCACAATCCGCTGCGGGTTGCTTCTTCTTCTGAGGAGCTTTTGACTTCTTCTTTTTCCCGAGGGCTACACTCAGAGGCTCCGGGTCTAAAGGCCGAGAGGTACTCGTCTCCCCTGAACCTCGGAGGGGCAAAACAGCAACAGTCACCTCCTGTCGCTCCCTCTCCTCCTCTTCCTCAGCCACTTGGAGTGCGAGGGCCATTTCCTCGTCCGCGGCGACTTGCTCAAACTCTTCAGCCTCTAACTCCACCCGGAGATTGCTTTGTACCTCCTCTGCCACTGCAAGATCGTTGTGGGTCGAAGACTGCTCGCTTGGTGACTCAGTGTCAGAGGTGCTCTCTGCTGCAAACGAGGGCTCCCTCGAGTGATTTTGGGAATCGCTTGCAGATGACATCTTTCGGTGTCGGAAGACTAAAGGTAAAGAAAAGGGGAGGCTAAGAATTTCCTAGCGAGGCACTAACACTTAATCTAAAGCGATAAAGCAAAGTATGCTGGAAAAGTCGGAGAACAGTGAAAGAACTGACCTCGAAGCTTGGGGTTTGATCAAATAAAACTTTCTCTCTCTAGAAAATAAAAGGGCAGAGCTTCGCTTCACAATGAACACACAAGGAAAAATGACTCCAGCTTTGGGGTATTTATAGGCTCAGGGCCTCGATATGTGGGCCTCGATTTGAAAAGCCCATCATTACACACCGCCTCATCGCCCAATGGGTGGTAGCCGTCCGCCTTCAGCCAACGAGGACACGCCACGTCAATCCCCCCTCCAACGGCTATATTACAACGACTATATTTCGGCAACACTGGGATGCCCCCGAATGATAGCCTCCGGCTATCACTCACCGCAGCCTTCAAGCAACGAATTCCACCAAACGCCTTCGAGCCCATAGCAACATAGGCCTTCGGCTTATCAATGTAACCACTCCTCGGGGGGCTCATCAACTCATCATAACTCCTTCAGCCCGAACTTGCCTTCGGCCTCAAGGAGTGGGGGACTGGGATACACCCCTCGGGGATCATACACAACAAAAATTCCTTCATACAGGCAATTTTCAATTGACGCGTACAGCCTCCAGACAAACATCAAAGTGGAACCCCTTCGGCAAAGCAAAATGTCAGAAATTTTCCAGTCACTGACAATAATGAAGCAGCCCTCACCACAACACACGCAGGCAATACACCTATGCTTTCCCCAGAAAACCCTCGACATGTGAGGGACTGAGGAAAGCCTTCTGCAGTCATACAGGTGTTATACTTCCCTCAGAAAACCCTCGACATGTGAGGGACTGAGGGAAGCCTTCGGCAATCAGCAATAGACAAAGTTCTCCAGCAAAAGGCACCCAGCGAAATGATGAAAGCCCCCAGAAGAATCAACGCACCTACTCCTTTTCCCTCAAGTACCTTTCGGCAAAAGGAGTGAGGGACTCCTGATGGAGTACATGGCCCAGGAACCCCCGGCCCATAGACTCCTACTTCTCCTACACAAGTCCATTAAGCCCAGAGAACATCTCAGGCCCAAATACAACGGCCCAAGCTTCAAAGTAGCCCAGAATACGCACTAGGGTGCCTTCGGCATTCCCATGCCCTCGGCACCAGGGGAAGCCTTCGGCTGAACCAAGCCCTCGGCCACACAAGGGGCCCTCGGCCACACAAGGGGCCCTCGGCTACGCAATGAGCCCTCGGCTACACAGGGAGCCCTCGGCTACACCGGGAGCCTTCGGCTGAACAAGCTCAATCATCGAAGATTCCTTTTAGAGACAGCCAACCACCGCATTTAATGCCACGTCACATCCGCCAACCGCATTCAATGCGGTTGACGTACCACTGCCGGTGCCACTAGGCTGATGTGACCCTTCGGCCGTTGGATTACTGACACGTGTCCTCCCATCGCATTTATTGCTGCTATAAATAGCAGCCCATTTCTCCTTGTAATCGACACAATCTACATCTCAACTCCACGCTGAGTTCATTTAATAAAATCAACTCTCTCTCCTCCTATTTGCTCTGATTTCTCTCTAGTTATTCCCGCAATAACCCCTCGGATAAGATACCCCCCGGGTAGACTATCCATCATGGGCCCAAAGGGCCGAAACATGCCTGATAGGCTAAAACGGGCCTCACAGACTGGGCTCCGTACTACGTGAAGTCTTGGACTCTTGAAGAGTAACGGACCGAGATAATATATCTCAACAATACTCAATGGAAATGTTGTTATGTCAAACTAACAAACCTTATGATTTTCATATCAATGAGCATTTTGTAAGTTACTTATGCTCATCTAGCACTGATCTTATGCTCATTTCCTAAGTGTCATATCAATGCACTTTTTAAAGTACTATTTTACATTATATTCAAATATTGAAATTTATAATAGTTGATTATAAATATAATTAAATAAGTTTTTATAAAAGAAAAAATAACAAAAAGAAAGTGAATTAGAAGTTACGAAGCAGAGATCACGATTCTGAAATTTAGACTCCTAATACTCAACATAATAGGTCTGGTGCTCGTTAAAAGTTCATTAATGCTCATTCAGCAGAAACCATGGTTTTCATCTCAATAGCGGATGTTTGATGCTCAATTAAAATGTTGTGATGCTCAACTAACAAACATTAGAATTTTTATATCAATGTGCACTTTGTAAGTTATGTATGCTCATTTAGTACTGATATTATGCTCATTTTTAAAATGTCATATCAATACATATTTCAAAAGTATCATATTACGTTAAACTCGCATATTGAAATTAATAGGAGTGAATTATAAATATAATTTAATAAGTTTTTATAAGAGAAAAAACAAAAACAAAAAAGAAAAAATTTAAAAGTCATGAACTAGAGACCGTGATACTCATTGTTAGCCTCATAATACTCAATACAATGGATCAGATGCTCACTAAGTGTACATTATTACTCATTTCACGAAAGCCATGAATTTTCGCTTAAATTACAAAAACGTCACCAAAAAAAATTAGGCTGTATTAGTTGAATGGGCTGTCTTTCTTAATTAATTGGACCTTTTTTATGTGGTCCTTCGTCAGATTCATTAAATTGGGATTAAGCTTCAATTAAATTACAAAAAGACCCGGATGTACGGTTCCCACCCGTACACGCGGGTGTACCATATACGAACGGATAGCCGTCGATCTTTATTAATGTGGATCGTGCGGTTAAAGCACTAAGCCGTAAAAAGCCTTGTACACAAAGTAGTGCAATTATGTAGGATCCAAAGGAGAATTTAATGAAAGAATTTTCATTAAATGAAAGCACAATTTGATTCAGGTAGTTCTTTGTCAAGTTTTAACATTTTATTAAATATTTAATAATCAATTGATTCAATTAGATTGTGCTTTAAGATAAAAGTTCAGCATAATCAAAAGAACCAAGAAAAATTGTTTAGGTACAGCTACTTTAATTTAGTATAGTATGTTAATAGGTTTGAATTTCAATATCAAAAGATTGTACACCCCAGGTCTATTCAATGAACAATGCAACATTGTTGAATTGGATCAAGACTTTACCTTTAAAATGCTTAGTTTAAGGTAAAGCATTCACAAAAATAATTTCTAACTTTTTAAAACTTAAAATGTGAAAAGTACTATTTTTAAACAAAGGAAAACACTTCATTATATTGGAAGTGGCTGAATGAAATTCAATGGTACATAAATGAACTCATTTGTACCTTTAGGCAGAAATGAACTCATTCGTCTTCTTACTACCACATTTAGAGTAGCCTCAACATCTAACCGCAAAATCTGAATAGCGCCTCTCTAAGATCATTTTCCCTGAAAGTCAAAACATGAGTAGAAAATAGACGTACTTATGAAAAAGATTATTAGCAAATTGTGTATTTTCCATTTGAGGTCATTCAAAGTGGACAGAGATTGATTTCAACCAGGTAGCTATAATTTAATTAAAAAAGATTGAGAAGTTAAATAATCAGTTTTTCCAATTCAGCACTTTAATTGATATCAAATCGGATATGGAAGTATGAAACAGTTTTACTTTTACATCACTAAAGAAATCTTGGTAATCACATGATCAACTTAAATTAACACAAATAGAGGTGGCTGGACAAAGTCCAAAGATTATACGGAGTAATTTATATGTTGCACTAAAAAACAACTGATATCCTGGTTCAAAAAAAAACTTATATCCCTCTAAGTCTCATTTGTTGATTTGTGTAGTCAAATTTTTTTATGCAACTTAGTAAAGTTTCTATACACAAAAGAATCAGCTCCAATCTCAACAAAAAATCTGCTCCAAAGAAAAAAACTATAAGGCATGGTATCTAAAAATCTGCTCCAATTGATCTAATTTTATAAATCATTAAAAATAGAAAAGGACATGACATCATGTTGTGAACTGAAAAAATAAAAATCAACGGGTAAACAATTGCCCATATAATCAACGATAAAAATACCGTTCTCCAGAGCCAAAAGACTAAAACCAATTTTAATCCAAGATGATCAAGAATGAAGCATACAAGGGGTATAAATAACCCTCTAAGGATGTTTTCTTTTGGACTGTTTTCAGTTCCAGACCAGACCAGACCAGATCAGATCAGACCAGACCAGACCAGACTTTCGTAGTTATAAAATATACAGAGACTAGACGTTTACCAGACCAGACCAGACCAGACCAGTTCAGACCAGACCAAACCAGCAAATTTCAGTTCAAAAGAAAACATCCTAAGTCTAATAAGAATAGGAATCCTAATTATATCATAATAGCAAACTAAATAGAATAGGAGACCTCTAGTTCTAATAGAAGTCCTAATTAATCCATTCTAGGAAACTAAATAGAAATAGGAAACTTCTAATTCTAATAAGAATAGAAGTCCTAATTAAATCATACTAGGATACAAAATAAATTAGGAAACAAAATAAAAGGAATAATAAATATTAACTAAACAACCCACAACCAGCCACAGAGGTGGGCTCAAACCCGTCCCGCCTTCAGTAAACCCACGGGGGGGGGGGGGCTTCTGCCCCTCTTCTTCCAAGCCCAGATTTTGCTTCATATCAATTCTACCCCCCTTCAAAAAAACCTTGTCCTCAAGGTTGAAATTCGGAAATCGACTAACATTTGTTTTCGGGGGCTGCCAAATATCTTTAGCAGAGCTGTCACTCGATCCTTTCAGCTCATTCATTAAATTCCTCAAATAGTGTTCGTTAGATAGCATTGGGACCTGGCTTGCTGGTTGAACGAAAATTGAGATCTACTCCTCCACGGTCTTTGCTTGCTTGACTCCGGACAGCCGCTCAAAGCGATTGCACTGAAACCGTGAGTCAAAATGGGCCATCAACGCCTGTGTTAGTTCATCTAATGACATGGCCGACTTTCGTGCCCATAACCAGGTCAACCAGTATATGGCTGACCCTTCCATCGTAACTACAGCGGCTGCCACCCTCTTTGCCGGCGGAGTACAGTTTAGTTTGAACTGTTTCTCTGCCCTAGCAACCCAGCCGATTGGGTCTTCTCCGTCAACCAAGGTCGATCAACGTCGTTAGAGTGGTGGTGCAAAGTCCAGTTCTTCACGCGGATGCCTCTGCCAAGTTTAGTGAAGCCGCTGCCGCGTTTATTGAAGTCGCTGCCACGTCAAGTGAAGCCACCACCAATGAATGCTCCTCCGCCGCTGGCGGCGCGAGAGCTTTCGTGAGCGCAACTGAGTGAAGCTGCGATCTCCGCTAGCATCGCTCCTCGCGCGTCCAGTTTTTGGTTCAGCAAAACCTGTCCGGCCTCCATCTTGGACGAACGTTCAGTGATTGATCTTGTCATTCCGGCGGGACGGGATCCGGCATGTCAGACCAATTGTTGTGAACATAAAAAATAAAAATCAACGGGGTAAACCGTTGCCCAGATAATCAACGATAAAAATACCGTTGCCTAGAGCGAAAAAACTAAAACCAATTTTATTCCAAGATGATCAAGAATGAATCATACAAGGGTATAAATAACCCTCTAAGTCCAATATCACTTTGCACCCCATTTTAAAAAATCTTTGACATTGCACCCTCTCATATAACATTTGTGAAGGAAAACTTCTAAATGGGATGCAAAGTCAAATGATTTTGAAGTCAAATTGGGTGCAAAATCAAAGTTTTTTTAAAATGGGGTGCAAAGTCCAATATCATCCAAAACGTGGGGTGCAAAGTCAAATTCTCTCTTAAATCATAATAGGAAACTAAATACTATGTAGGATAGGAGACCTCTAGTTCTAATAGAAGTCCTAATTAATCCATTGTAGGAAACTAAATAAAAATAGGAAACCTCTAATTCTATTAAGAATAGTAGTCCTAATTAAATCATACTAAGAAACAAAATAAATTAGGAAATAAAATAAAATGAATAATAAATGTTAATTAAACAGCCCGCAACCAGCCCACGGAGATGGGCTCAAGCCCGTCTCGCCTTCAGTAAACCCGCAGGGGCTTTTATCCCTCTTCTTTCAAACCCAAATTCTGCTTCATATATCACATCAGGACAAAACTCAAAATCAAAATTTAAAAAAACTTTACACTACAATAATCACCGAGAAATTATAAAATGTAAACTTTCACAATCAACGCTAAAAATTTACACCATATTTTCTAAACCTGAAAGGCTTCTCTACCAGCCTATGAGTACACGTGATGGTAAAAAGCTAATTATTAAACTATTTGTTGAGAATGTCCAAATCAACACCTTTGACTAATCTTTATATATACTCCCTCCGTCCCTAAAACAAGTTCACCCTTTCCTTTTTGGGTAGTCCCTGAATTAAGTTCACCTTTCCTTATTTGCCAAATTATCTATATCAAAATAGTGCCAAACAGTACCAAACAGTGCCGAACAGTGTCCAAACAGTAAAATTTACCCTCCAGTAAATTTCTTTCCTTAACATGTGTGAAAAGCAATGGTGAACTTCTTTCGGGGACGGAGGGAGTATAACAATGGAACCGTGTGTCAAATAACTGTTCCCGCCAAGAAATGTCTGACACGTCATTATATAAAACGTTTGTTCAATAGCCGGTTAATATCTGTACACATGCACTACCAGTCGTGCTTAATTGAGAACCGTCACTGAATTATTCTTCATTGTAATTAACCCAGGTGGCAGGCAGGAGCTAACAATAATTGTAAATGGATCGAACTACTTTGTATTGTTTAAACTTTAACTGAATTTCTTGATTCCTAAATAAAGAATTACTTTAAAATTGTCATTTTTGTAACAATTATTTGTAGTTATAAGTGAAGATCCGTATTATGGAGAATACTGGTAAGGCAAGTTTCTATATATACTTGGGATTAACAGGCACGTAAAAAACCAATTGGAAAAAAGGTTGGTCATTTCATTGCAAAAATGATATGGCTGGGTATTTAAAAAATATGTTTATACTTCATTTGGGGTTTATTTAAACTTAAAATATGAAAAAGTAACAATTAAGGGGAATAAGAAAAATATGTTTATACTTCATTTGGTTTATTCCCGGTCCCTTAAATGATATAAACCGTGAATAATTAACCAATTTGATTGCGAATGTAATGTGTTTAGTTCAAAGAAGGGGAGCCCGGAATAACTATATGCATTGTAAAACTCAGGGCATTTGAAGCCGTTGCTTCAAAGCACTTTGGGGAAGCTTCGATCTGATCTAACTATTTAAGGGGAATGAGAAAGATAAGGAAAGAAAGGAAAAGCAGATTGATCATATTTCAGACAAGGACACAAGTCAATGAATGAATATGGCCTACTGGAAGCAAAAGAACTTATACGGATGATGATATTATAATAGTAATCCCAGCCCCTACCTATGAAATCTCCCTCTCACTTGTGTCAATAACTGAGCTATTCCTGTACGCGAATAAATGATTTCCTTAAATTTGTGTTTTGTATCACAAACCCTTTTATTTTTTATTTAAGTTTGTGTTTTGTATCGCAAACCCTGTTAATTTTATTTAAATTTGTGTTTAGAATACTGTGTGTAATTAAAAGTGATTTATTAATTCAATGTGTTTTAGGTTATTTACGTTAACTTCTATGGACTTTTTTGGGTAAACTTCTATGACTTAAAAACAGTTTTTTTTAAGTTCAAATTAAAAACAAGAATTTATACACAGACATGCAACTCACTCTTACTTTTGTTTTATATTTCCTTGATTATTAAAGCAATATAGATATAGATGTCCAATTAGAGTTGTTTTATTATTATTATTATTATTATTATTATTATTATTATTATTATTATTATTATTATTATTATTATTATTATTATTATTATTATTATTATTATTATTATTATTATTATTATTATTATTATTATTATTATTATTATTATTATTATTATTATTATTATTATTATTATTATTATTATTATTATTATTATTATTATTATTATTATTATTATTATTATTATTATTATTATTATTATTATTATTATTATTATTATTATTATTATTATTATTATTATTATTATTATTATTATTATTATTATTATTATTATTATTATTATTATTATTATTATTATTATTATTATTATTATTATTATTATTATTATTATTATTATTATTATTATTATTATTATTATTATTATTATTATTATTATTATTATTATTATTATTATTATTATTATTATTATTATTATTATTATTATTATTATTATTATTATTATTATTATTATTATTATTATTATTATTATTATTATTATTATTATTATTATTATTATTATTATTATTATTATTATTATTATTATTATTATTATTATTATTATTATTATTATTATTATTATTATTATTATTATTATTATTATTATTATTATTATTATTATTATTATTATTATTATTATTATTATTATTATTATTATTATTATTATTATTATTATTATTATTATTATTATTATTATTATTATTATTATTATTATTATTATTATTATTATTATTATTATTATTATTATTATTATTATTATTATTATTATTATTATTATTATTATTATTATTATTATTATTATTATTATTATTATTATTATTATTATTATTATTATTATTATTATTATTATTATTATTATTATTATTATTATTATTATTATTATTATTATTATTATTATTATTATTATTATTATTATTATTATTATTATTATTATTATTATTATTATTATTATTATTATTATTATTATTATTATTATTATTATTATTATTATTATTATTATTATTATTATTATTATTATTATTATTATTATTATTATTATTATTATTATTATTATTATTATTATTATTATTATTATTATTATTATTATTATTATTATTATTATTATTATTATTATTATTATTATTATTATTATTATTATTATTATTATTATTATTATTATTATTATTATTATTATTATTATTATTATTATTATTATTATTATTATTATTATTATTATTATTATTATTATTATTATTATTATTATTATTATTATTATTATTATTATTATTATTATTATTATTATTATTATTATTATTATTATTATTATTATTATTATTATTATTATTATTATTATTATTATTATTATTATTATTATTATTATTATTATTATTATTATTATTATTATTATTATTATTATTATTATTATTATTATTATTATTATTATTATTATTATTATTATTATTATTATTATTATTATTATTATTATTATTATTATTATTATTATTATTATTATTATTATTATTATTATTATTATTATTATTATTATTATTATTATTATTATTATTATTATTATTATTATTATTATTATTATTATTATTATTATTATTATTATTATTATTATTATTATTATTATTATTATTATTATTATTATTATTATTATTATTATTATTATTATTATTATTATTATTATTATTATTATTATTATTATTATTATTATTATTATTATTATTATTATTATTATTATTATTATTATTATTATTATTATTATTATTATTATTATTATTATTATTATTATTATTATTATTATTATTATTATTATTATTATTATTATTATTATTATTATTATTATTATTATTATTATTATTATTATTATTATTATTATTATTATTATTATTATTATTATTATTATTATTATTATTATTATTATTATTATTATTATTATTATTATTATTATTATTATTATTATTATTATTATTATTATTATTATTATTATTATTATTATTATTATTATTATTATTATTATTATTATTATTATTATTATTATTATTATTATTATTATTATTATTATTATTATTATTATTATTATTATTATTATTATTATTATTATTATTATTATTATTATTATTATTATTATTATTATTATTATTATTATTATTATTATTATTATTATTATTATTATTATTATTATTATTATTATTATTATTATTATTATTATTATTATTATTATTATTATTATTATTATTATTATTATTATTATTATTATTATTATTATTATTATTATTATTATTATTATTATTATTATTATTATTATTATTATTATTATTATTATTATTATTATTATTATTATTATTATTATGTGTAATTCAATTTTGAATAGAACAAAAAAATACTATCGTATTATTTGGTGCCAAATTTGGAGTCATTTTTGGATTCATTATCAAGGTTGAACTCGACTCCTTAATATATGTGAGAATGCCTGTTACGTTTCAACGCGAATTCCCTCTAATGGTATCAAATGGAATGATGATCAACAAAAGTCAGCTCTCTCAAATGTTACCAAGTGAGAAGGATGAAAATATTGACAAGCAATACATGTGGCTTCTCAAACAATTTCACAATAAATGTCATTATATATGTGGAAGTTTCTAAAAAATGTACAATTTCCACTATGTTTGCTTTATGTACCCACTTAGTTTAAGCACTTACATAGTATAATTTTCTTTTAATTTTTTGAATGTACTTCAAACCTATCATAGTGATCTTACTACATCATACAAGTATTTTAATGTTCTTACAATAAATATGTCTTACATTAATATTTCAATTATATGTATTTCACCATAATTAAAAATAAAAAAAATTTCTCCCGTGCGATCTAGTTTGTTAAAATGATGAAAGATTGACGATTCAACCAACCTTGACAAAAACATCGACTAATTTGCATAGTTGATTGTATATAATTATTCATCTGATTTTTTGATATGAAGCAATCAAGCAAATCAATAATTAATTAACCAAATGTAGAAAATACTTTAATAAAATGGAATCAATTATTACAATTTCATGTGACGAATAATTAAATAAACAACGAATACTGCATATGAATCTAAAAAGATCTTAACTTTTCTTGGTTGAATTTGTAGCATAAGATGGTAATGTATTTGAGAAAATGTGAATTTGGGTAACAATGAGCTCAAATGCTCAATAGTGAAATAAAAAAACGACTAAAGGAGCAAAGAGGAAGCAATTGACCTTGAAGAGGCAGATGGAAAACCCTTAAAACCGAGCGCAACCATATTATTCTTTACTCACTTAAAGTAAAATTACGGAGTATAATAAAATTATGAGAAATTACTCTATATAGGACTAAAAACATTTGTATATTCCAAATTAAGATTATCATGTTTTTATTCTATACATAAAAGTAAGGGAAAAGTAGTACAGAAAACGTACATGTGGTTTGAGCCATTTTCAGATAGGGGCATGTGTTCAGTGGCGGATCTAGCATTTACAATTTAGGTGTTCAAAATTATTTTAAAATTTAGAATTAAGAATCACGATTATCTCATTTGGGTTTTAATGTCAAATCAAAATATGGTTGATTATCGATTATATATATTTGAAAAACTTTTCAAATACACATTACCCATACAAAGTGTTGATTTATAATAACTCACAAACAAATCTTACTCTATGTAAAAAGAGGTGGTAAATCATATGGTTTTCCCGCCCAATAGAATTAAAAAGAAAATAGAGGAAGATCCGTTCAAACCATTATTCAAGCATGGTAATTCAAAAAGTAAATATGTGGCGTGTCCGAGACTCATATTCTTGAAAGTTGAAACAAGTTGTTTCAAACAACTTTAATTCAATGTTTGGTTGACCGTGGGTTAATTATATGTCAGCAAAATATTCACGTGATATCTTCTTGATTAATGCGAGTATATTGCCTATTAATTGCCTATTCATCTTTTAGGATTCCATGGTAAAAAAGTAACAACAATACCGACCATATAGTCAGTCTATTACATAGTGGAATCAGTTGTACTCATCCTCTTCCCGGTGGTGAGCAGAGCCTTCCGTGAAACTAAGAAGCTTTTTTTAAATGTGGAAGTTGCAATCCAAGCCGACAGGAAGTGAACTAACGGATTTCAGCCCAAGATGAAGCGGGTGTGGAAAAGGAGTATGAGGGAGATCCAAAAGTGCAAAATCTAGAGGAACCTGCGCTCATATTCTTCGAGAACCTAAAGAGATGGGATTTTGGAGTCCAAAGCTTCATTAGATCCGAATTTCCTTTCCCTGTGACGGTGGGTGTCCAGCTTTGTTTGGGACACCCAAACATGGGACTATGCCGTCAGATTCTCTGGGGATGAAAATGGGACTACAACTCTCAAGCTTTGTTTCTTTTTCAGGATATGCACCGGGAACCACAGGAAATCACCGGGAGGGGTGACATAGAAACCTATCGGGCTCCTTCCCTGCTGCCGTGGTTGGTCAAACATGTGTAATTGTGTACAAGGGAGCCGGTTTTGCCATGGTTTGAAGATAACTGGCTCAGTGGGAAGGATTTGTGTTTGGCTAGTTTTTTTTGTGTTTGGATTTGGATTAATGGATTTGTGGACTTTTTTTCTCTTTTAGTATGGTCCGTATAGATAGTTTTGTAGATTTTATTTTTGGATCTAGGCATGTCTCTAGCTTGGCACTTTTGTATTTTGGAGCTTGGCTCATCTGTCTCTTTATTGTCAAGCACCGGAAAGGCAACAGTTTGCTATACGCAGTGATACTAATCTATTACACTTTGGATTTTGGAATTCTGGTGGAGGCACTCTTTCTTTGGTTGATGGTTGAAGGTATACTTGAAAAAGCCCATTTATGTGTAAGTATTTTTTAAATAATCGTGCAAAAGAAAATAGTCAAAGCAGATCTATACATACATGCATGTGTTAGGTTATGGAGTATTTGCTTTTAAATAAGCTAAAAGAATATCATATATTTCCTCCGTTCTTTTTTAGTTGCAACGGTCAACATTTCACACTTGTCAACGCACATCTTTGACCGTAATTATATCTTAATCTCTATTAGTTAAAAATAATTAAAAATCAGATTTTGAAAATTTGTAATGAGATGAATTGAACAATATCTTTTTAAAAAAATAATTTTCGTAAAATAATACCGTAAAATGTAGTCAAAGTAGAACACGTGAATAGTGTAAAATTCAACATGTTGCGATTAAAAAGAAACGGAGGATAGTATTTCATAATCTGAAATAGGTATTTGCTTTAATTTGTGTAATTTGAATACAATAAATTAGTTAATACTTCATCAGTCTTTTTTTGTATTAAATGACCTATTAGGTTTCTCATAGAAAAATTAGAATAGTAGGGTGGTAAAACTGTGATAGGAGTGGGGTTTGTGTTGAAATGAGAAAGTAACAAGGTGAATGTAGTAAGAAAAGTGTCCTAGATTAAGTGAGTGAAGGAGGAAAGTACTGAAAACTATGAAATACTGTCGTATATATTTTGAAATTGCCCAAATTATTGGGATGAAAATCAAGAATGGTTTCAAAATGGTTCCAAATCTCTTTAGCAAAACGGCAGTGAAGGAAGAAGTGATTAACAGTATCACTACTGTTGCAAAAAGGACATTTGAAGGGTCCATTAATGCCAAATTGATTAAGTTTATCAGCGAAAGGAAGGAGGCAATTAGACAACCTCCATAGGAAGAAAGAAACTTTTTTGGGATGCAATTGTTCCATATAAACTTGGCATATATTAAGAAAAGTATTTCAAAGAATGGGGATGAAATTATTGACAAAGAAAGTGGGGAACAAATATGGAACACATGACAAATATTAAAAGAATTGATCACAAAAAATGATCAAATACCTAACCTCTTGAGAATTGATCCAAACCTCCAAGTTGATTATGAAATTCGGAGTATACAGTTAATATTTGAATATTTGTAGAGTGCAAAGGACAAATATATTATAAACATTTTTTCTAATGTGCTACTCTCGTCTCAATTTAGGATTCCCACTTGCCTCATTTAGACATCCTGGTTAAAGATTTCATTCATATTTTAGAAAATAATTAGCCATCTTAAACCAAAGCTTAATCATCAAATAATAAAAATAGAACTTTTATAGCATCACAAGTTTCATCAAATTTCTCATTATATCACCCATCAAACTTCTCATAATTTACTTGAATTATCTTTATTAATTACATAGTATTGACTACATAATCGTACCATTTTTTCAATAGTTTCATTCAATTTCAAATTAGGAACACGTAATATTATTATTTTCCGGAAACATGACTCGCTTGCTCCTAAAAGTTGCAACTTTTTATTACTAAATTTAGAAACTTTACCAACTCTTTTTCTATTAGGAGTAATCATTTTGAATCTTATTTTAAAGAAAATTAGAACACCTTTTATTCACAAATCTTACTCCTATAAGGGTCATTTTTATTTTCCAAATCACGATTTATAAATGTATTTATTTTAACGATTATTAATATTAATTTTTACCCAATTTTCTAACCGTGCATCGCACGGGTGAAAATCTAGTTAACAAAAAACCTCATACCCTATACCCCAACTAACAGCAACAGATAAATTAAACAAAAACTTAAGCAAATGTTGAGTAAAACATCAATAAATTGAATAAAATGTTTAGCAAAAGTATACTACAGTAAAACCATTCAATTTATATAAAAGCTAGTCAATCCACTAAACCTAATAAACATCTTCATTCTTTTCAACGTAAGTAATGGGAATTTCGTATTATATATTTATATATTTACAAAAATTAGATCCTAATTTGCTGATGTAGAAGACTATTATTGTATGTCTTCACCAAAGTCTAAAACAAGCGGCTAGGTAGCTGACGTGCACTTTGTCGTGGTGTGCACTCAAAATAAATACAATACAACAAATATACGTAGTATATTGAAGTAAGGTTCGTATCCACAGGGAAAGGAATATTTCTCTTTTTAATTAACTAGTAACAAAGGGGGGGGGGGGGGGGGGTTAGATTTGATTTGATTTAATTAACACTAAGATTAATGACTTAAATGAGTTTAATTAATGAGAAGAAGACTTGGCTTTGTTTTTATCCACTTAATGAAATGTTCGTCGATCCCGGTTATATCTTTAACTATCTTCCTCTCGAATACTCAATCGAGGAGTATATCCAGTTCATCGAGGGTAGTTATTAATAACGAGAAGCGTTCATTAATAAAACTTACTATCGAGTCAATATAGAACAAGCGCCGTATATTAACTTGATAGTAGCAATAAACTTAAGATGAAAACGATTGAGGTTGATAACCTCAACACAAGCGGTTTATTGGTTTAATCAATATAATTAATTCCCCTTAGATTATTAACCATGAGATGCATGCATTAATAATCCAAGTTTACTACCATGAAAGGACCGAATTAATAACAAGCGTATTAATCGACCGATTCTAGTATTAATTAATATATGAAACAAAACTAGTTGATCCTTTAAGTAATGTTCAAAATATTAATATGAAATATGAATAGGAATTAATTAATACTCAAGAAAGAATATTAAAGAAGATGAATCCTACTATAGTTAATATCAAGATGTTAACTAATTGTCATCTTAGTAACACTCCCCAATATTAACGTAGAGGAAGAAATGATTATTACTATAACTAATGTCAAGATGTTAACTAATTGTCATCTTAGTAACACTCCCCAACATTGATATAGAAATAGTATTTAAAGGAATAATTAATATTCAAGGAAGAAGATTAAAGAGAATAACTCACAACTTACAAATTCATTAAGCTTCAAAGTAGCAAAACCAAGATGGAAGAGTTTAGCTCCTCATTTGGAGACTAAACATGCTAGAAAATATAAAGAAAACACTAATCTAAACTGAGCTAAAGAGTATATGTGAATTGGTGATTTTATTGTGAAGGAAAGGGGTGTATTTATAGGCTTTTGGGAGCTGCAGGGTCTGATACCCGACCGGGTATCTCCGGAAATTGCCCAGAAAGTGATTTTTCTGGGCATACCCGATCGGGTAAGGGTATATACCCGATCGGGTATGTGACAAATCTTTATGAAAATTTGCTCCCACGATCATTTGTCTTCGGATTTGATTTGGACAGTCGAATCAAGCAATTACCCGATCGGGTATAGGCAATACTCGACCGGGTACATGAGTATTTTTTCCAAATCGAAATCTTTCTTGTCTCCTTGCACTTTCCTTGATCTTTTAAGGTCCAATCTTGATCCCTTAGATGATCTTTGACCTGTTTGGCTCAGAAAATCCTAATCTAACTAAATTACAAATAAAAAATGAAAATAAAGTATTACACCAAAAGTGTGTAATTTTCACAACTAGAACTAATAAAAACTAGTTAAAAATACAAACATACACTCGAAAATTACACGAATATCAACTCCCCCACACTTAGCTTCTTTACTCGTCCTCGAGTAAAGTCAAATGTTTAACAGTTCCAAGTCCTCAAGAGTTCAACAGTCAACAAAAAAGCAAAAGACCACCAAGGATAAACATCTTCTTGGGTTTCATGGTCTTCTCTGCTCGTCTCTTTTCTTCTCTCCTTTTCATGTTCAAAAGATTAAATGATGTCCTGTAAAAACAAATATATCTCTCATATCTCTCATTTTGCCTAGGAGCCTTTTCAGGTTTTCATCCTAGCAACTCTTTTTATTTTTCCATCCTTTCCACTCACTCAATTTTTTTTATAAGCCATTTTTGCTTAGATTGCCCGTTCTGGGTTTTCAACCTAACTAGCATTTCTTTTTTCTTTTTTTTTTTCTTTTTTTTCTCTTTTTTCTTTCTTTTGTTTTGTTTTTGTTTTTTTTCATGTGAAGAAAATAATGCCAGTTACAAGGTATCAAACTTAAGTACGTATCAATGAGTGACTCCCCCTCACTTAGTTCGAAGCACTGTCCCTAGTGCTCGTCTCCGTAATAACCTTGTTCGAATGTACATCCTCGTAGCCCTGAATCGGTCCCCTAGCCTGTGAACTTGCGGCCCTGTCCTGCTTTGGTGCCATTGATTGCCTTTTTGGAGCGTGAATTTCGGGGGGCTGGGGTTTTGGGTTTTATGGAGAGGAGAAAATATGGGGATTTTTTTTTTGTTTGTAAAGGGGAGTGTTTTGGTGGTGGTATGAGGAAGTTTGGGTGAGTATTGATGGAGATAGTGAAGAAAGAAGGTTTAAAGATGAAGGATTTTGGAGAGGGGGTTCGAAAATGTGGGTTTTGGGCTAAAAACTCGGGTACCCGGTCGGGTGACCTGACATACCCGATCGGGTATACGCGGGTTGGCTTGTTCCAGGGTCGGGCCCGATCGAGTTGGGGTAGTACTCGATCGGGAAAATCACGCCGTAGGAATTCCCATAACTCAATTAAATATACCCGACCAGGTGAAGGGTGTAACCCGATCCGGTACCTTCCCCTGGAGCGCTTTTTTTTTTCTTTACACAGACACTCAACTGAATGCAAATAATCAAAATACAAACTTGGGTTGCCTCCCAAGAAGCGCCTTAGTTAATGTCGCGGCACGACGTTATTTTTATTTTATTTTCTGAATTAAGTGGGATCATAAACATCCCTTTTATCCTTCTTTAAGGCCCTGTTCGGCCTTGTGTCAATTTTATTTTTCGGCCTTTTCCAGTAAGGCCGAGCTTTCTTTCTTGCTACCACCTCAACCGTCGGTGGTTTTTCTAGTGATTCCTCCATGATCAAAATTGATTCTTTAAAGGAAGAGTGATTTTTAATAGAATTATAAATGTTATATTCTATTTTCCTTCCATCAAATTCCATAGTTAAAAGTCCGCTA